ACTTCCATTGTCTATCTTATACACTTGTATAAAGTTCTCCATTATAATTTTTATATTTTTCAGATTGTGGAAGGTAACAAATACCCAAAAAAGGTCGATAAAAATAAAGTTACTTTGTGATCATTTTCATCTTTTATCTTGATTATTTTATTTTATTCGTTTTATTGTACTTTCATTTCACGTTTTATTGCTTATAATATATAATTGATATTTTAGCTATTCATTCTAACTTTATTTATCCTTTCATAGATTTCGAATCATATTGAATAATGGAAGTCCGAACTAGTAAAATTCACCATGAAACACAAACTATTGGTTAAACATCATGGTCTTTAAAAAATTGACAATCGAGAGGATCAAAATTGTCAGGAAACATTTCGAAATTCTGTAGGGAAGAATTTCTACCAATGATAGCGCTACTGAAACAATTAACAGCTGAGTTATGTTTATTGTTTTTGGTGTTTTGAGTTATTTGTGAGACTAAAATAAATTACTTTCACTCACTGGAAGAACAAGAAACCACAGCAAAATATGAAAAGAGCTGGCATAACTTTGCCATTTGGCTTAGTTTCAACATGTCCGGTATATGTCGTATCTGGAGGCTGACCTTCCCAATGGTGACCATCACTGAAATGATTGCCATACCAGTGTTAAAAGGCAGAAACAAAGAATCATAATACATTCTTATACCTGATGAGAACTGCTTATCAAACAGTTCTTTGGAGATAGATCGCACTTAGCTTCCCATCTTGAAGGAAGTGGTGAAATGGCATCAAATGATATCATAAAACAAACACCTTCTGAACTACATATCGAATGTTTCCGTTAGTCAATCAACAACTTATATATATTTCAAACTCACTTCCGCGAAGAAAACTATGATTTAGCTGATTTGATTTTCAATTCTGAAGACGGAACAGATTTAAGTCCCCGAAACGTTAAGATAAGTAACTCATAAATTCTTAGCTCATTTTTCGATAGGGAAAATTATCGAATATGACAAGTTACTGATGAACAGAGCGTTTTTATTTGGGAAAAATATATTAACTTTACGCAGTAACTTATCAGATGAACTTACCTTTGCCTTTTCTACACCTGTATAAAATTCTCCATAACTAATTAATATTTCATTGTTATTGTTAGTTTATATTTTTGATTCAATCAAAAACAGATTCAACCTAAACAGAATCTTGTCATCACAAGCAGGGCCGGTCTCAGGGCCAGGCGACCCGTGTCACCGCATTGGGCGGCAAATTTTTTGAAATACACTACTTGTTTGAATTAAAATCAAAATCCTAGAACCAATATACAACACCTCCACCTCCTTAATGCGTGTAATTATTTCCTAATAGTGAAAGGAATTCATCAGTTTAAAACGAAAACAATAGCGTAATTTTTCACTAGTATGTAAATAATGTACACATAAATATACTTTGAATTATACACGTTTTTCATTTACAACAAACTGTATGTGTGACAAGTATGTATAAGGAATGTTAAATTTCATATTTCATGGTGTATGAGAGGAGCGCGACAATCGCTGTTGTCTAGGGCGGCAAATCACTTGGGGCCGGCCCTGAAATCATAATTATAAAAGGTGAAAATGACTACTGATATAATCTTGAAATTAACAAGGTCATCACTTTTTGTGTTAGACTTCAAGGATTTGTTAAATGTCAAATTTCAAATAGCTAATATCTTCATGATATTCCTTTGAAAATGAAGTTCACGGAATATATTCCAACATCAGTGGGGTCAAAAGCCCAACTGGTTCTGCCCTGTCCGCTCAATCAGGTGGTCAACTAGAATTCAGAATTGCAAGATAGTGGTTCTGTTTATTATACCGGATACATATTTTTACCATAACGAATGTTTTACCATACACGCTTGAGAAAGCTATTGTATAGCGAAACACGTCTCTCGGTTTTTGTAAAACCTTGTGAAAATCATACAATAAACTGTATTAATCAGTTTTAATATGAATTTTCATCAAGTATTGGCCAGTTCTATTCAACCTTTCCAATCACCTCATTACATGTAACCATTATTTTAAACATCAAATTGGATACGGTGAGCTATCTTTAAAAGATAGACATATTCAATTGCGGATTTTTTGTAAACTTATAAAACAAGAACAATACAGAGAATTATTTTGTTATATTTCAAAGGAAGAAAAGGCGATGACATCACCCCTTACGAAGATGCCATTTATATATGATCTACACAAAACTATTCTCGAATTTTAAAAATAACCGATGATCTCCGAGCGGGTGTGTTGCAAAGCCAAGCTTCAATATCGACTTGTAAACAAAATTCATCCTCTGTTTTTCACTGCAAGGCACCTACTTGATACCAGAGCACAAACACAAAGCTTCCAACACCAGACAGCTCTGTTTCGACTCGTCATAGATGTAATCAGTGGTGTTACGACTGAATCACGTACACATTGCTGGACGCAACCGTCCTTGAAGAATAAACCTGAGTAAGTGAGGACGCTGACATCTCCCCATACAAAGATGCCATCTATGAGATCAACTGAGAACTCAATTCTCGAATATCAAAGATAAACGAGGATCCCTAGACAGCCTGGTTCTGGCCTAAGCTTCAACGTCGACCACCTTACGAGATTCGTCCTGTCTTTCACTGCAAGGCAACTAGTTGAAACTGGAGCCTGAAAACAAAGCATTCGTGACGATCCTCGTTTATCATTATTGATATTCGTAGATTTAGCCTTCTGTCGATACCACTGATGGCGTTTTCATAAGGGAAGATGCAGTCCCTTCACTTTCTCAAGCTTGTCCGTCAAGGATAGTTGAGTCCAGCAACGCGTTTGTAACTCATCCTAGCACCACTGATGAACCTTGGCAGGTGGAAAGAGTGCTTACTGTCTGGTGTTGGATAACGAATGCTTTGTTAATGACCTCTGGTTTCAATAAGGATCGAATCTCGTTCGACGGTAGATGTCAAAGCTTGATTTTGCAACGGTCTGCTTTGGGAAGACTTGTTTATATTTAATATTCGTGGGTTGTCTTCTGCTAATCCCACAGATGGCATGTTCAAAAGGGGGAAACCTTCTTATAACGGTCGATTGAGTGAGTAGAACGGGATGGTAGCCTGGTGTAGCAGCAGAACCATGCTGAAATTAGTCGAGTGGATCACCTACAGTAGTTATCTACCTAAAAACAACAAAACAAAAATGCGACCTCAGCCTTCAAATCTGATTCCCTGCTTAAAACAAGACTTGCGCAATTGCAACCTTTCTTCATTATTCGTTTCACATCGGTTTGATAGGACGCTGGAACTTATTTTATCGCGCTATATACTTGTAATTTTGCGATAACACCAAATATATTGATGTGCGTGAAATGTTAAAGATAACTACATATGTGACCATTATTGTAAACATTAGGAGTATAGTAAGCTTAAAATATAGACATATATCTTCGCGGACGTTTTATAGACCTATACCTAAAAGATAAATGACTTATAATATATTATCGTTCTGTTAATCGCAAATGGACAAGGAATCATTTTCGATAAAAGTTCCCCGGGTAGCGCCACCGCCCCGACTTTTAACGGATAACATCGTCATATTTCAACCAATTCAGAGACGCGGCGGGGGATTTCATTTGAAAATATGTAGTTATAGTTGACACATTGAATATTCAATAACATTTCATTGGCAGGATAAAATCAGGTATAAGAAATATGAATATTTAAAGGAATAGGTACATCAACTGCACATCAATAATTAGTTACATCTTGCATCTAGCGCATGACATTTGTGAATGTCAATTGCATAGACGTGTTTGGTGGGATATTAGCATAAGAAAAACCACATAATGTAAGGGTTATCATCAGTTGTTTATTTATGTATTCAGAAGACACTGCATTTCATTCATGAAATGCATATGTATTGACGTTCCAGAAAGACTAATGCTTTAAAAATACAAACAAATGAGTGCGAGAAGATCCAGGTCTAAATTGTAAACAAACTTCACACGAGCTGATAATAGTGACAAGCTATCTAGATCAAACACCTTTGAATTGTTGCGCTGTGTAGGAATAGGCAAGGACATTTTGCCGCTTGCGCATGCTTATTTTGATTCACTCGTTATCCACGAAGGTGGACGTTTTACTAGTGAAGCGATTGTCTGCAGTCAAATTGTTAGTCAGTGAAGGTAAAAATCGGTTATGCCTTAAAGCACGTGCAATACAGACCTTTATTTATAAAATGGTATCGAGTTTACATAGAATTTCAGTTATATTCAGCATTTTATTGTGGTTTTGTGTTAGTGCTTCAAGTGGAGATTCGGACTTGTTCTTGAAAGGGGGTAAGTTTCTATTGTGTAGTCCCTCTTAGTGCCAGGGTATGACAGACAGCTATGTAAGATAATAATGTAACTGCGTCTGCCAGCTCTTCTCTGGAAAAGTATTGTTTCATAATTAGTTTGGCATTTGACATATTCAGTAGTATTTGTTTACCTTCACTGCTACTGAAATAATGCAAAGAATGGAATGAGTAATCTTGAAAATTAAATAGATGAGATTCAAAAACTAATTGAGTATTGAATTTATACGCATGAAGTTATAAAAAATCGTGGGGGGGAAACAGATGAAATTTAAACTTTAGAACATTCTCCCACATTCCGAAAAGATTTGTCAGCACTCCTCGGGAATTTTTCAATGCATATTTTGAAGACGCTTGATGTGCTCTTTTTTATATTATAGCTGCTTTCTTCACAAAAAGCTGTGATAAATCTGGCTACGATAGACTTCATGCATGTCCTTCTCACAATCCAGTATCGTGGAAAATGTTGAACCCAACCAGTATCATGGTAAAACTGGAACATTTGGCGTAGAATACATCCAAAAACAAGCACTTCTCCCAATCACCAGAAATGCAATACTCTTCTGGACGCGCGATTTACCTACCAAGTTGGCGTCCTCGGGAGATGAAGAATGAGTTTTCTAATATTGTTACATTATTCTATATCTATACAATCTGCCTTTAAAATCTGTTTTCCGTTAATCACCTGTCGCCCCATACGAACGACAACTCTCAGAAGCTGAGAAACTTGTGCGAGCAAAGGAATAACGAGGTCTTACCGTTTAACATGTGATTCCTAACAAGTTCCTATACCATGAAATTATTCTGTAACCCAGTTACAGAATAAGATAAGAATAAACATACACATACAAATATACAGATACATGCAACCCGCTGAAAATATAAAAATGAAGTTTTCAAAGTGTCAGTCAACCAAGAAATGCTTTTCGATATAAGAAAGTTGGCAGTTAAACGCACACGGTATATAAAAAGAATTTTTTCATAAGCGGTTCATTAACCGCTTCTTATGTTTCAATTTGAATAAAACAAAGTGTGTACGAGATATCATCGAAACTTTTTATTCGTTTGAAAGACCTATTAATGCTATCGTGTGAAATATAACATCGTTCAAATCTCCGCCACGGCTTCTCTGGATAGGGCGCATCCGAAACGTCCAATTTTCCATGACTGGCGCATGAATCAGGCTGAATTTGACCGATGGCGTGGGTTATATTGGCTTTTACGACCGCTGTGATGGCCTGGCCAACGCCATTCTTCAAGAGGAAGATCAAACTGATCTTCCTCTTGAAGATGATCACTTGGTGATCGAAACACGCGCCGATATGTTGAAAATAACGGTTTGGTGTCGGGATAAAACTCCAGTGATATCCATTACTACACCAAAGGTTCCAAACAGTGCATCACAAGTAATTTGCACGTATTGTTGAAGGCTATATCCGTCCATGGTGATTTGGCAAAACAGACTGAATAAATGACAGCTAATTTGACAGATGTAGCTTCAACAAGATAGCCGTTATCAATTGTCAAAGTTTGGACGTCCCTTTGGAAGACCATGTATTTGTACTTAGACAAAAAGTACTAGTATTTTTGTACAAGACTCCAGGTATACAAAAATTTGGCATTTTTCATCATGAATACCTTCAGACAGCTCAATTTGCCCTACTTTATAATCATGTTTCAAAAATATCTCCGTATATAAATGTAAAACTGAAAACACAAACATTTAATACCTCTACTATCATATTATCTTTCACTTTGGGATTGTATTTCTCGGTAACCATGATTTTAATATCAGAATAATATAATTTTGACTTTTATCTCGGAAATTCCGACCTGCATTACGGAATAATGTTTGGTCAATAAGAACACGATTAGACTGTCTAGTCATATAAGATAACATTTAGTTATAGTTAGTGTCATTATTGCCATACTTCTTTTACATCGTGGACTAAATAATTATATTTTGAGGAGATGGTATATGCCGAAATTCTATAATAGTCAAGATTATCTTCTCATCCGATCACAGAAAAAAAACCTTTTCTATTCTCAAGTATAGCCCTATTCTTGAAATCATTCAACTTAAATGAATTCCCAATAATGTTGAACTGATATAAAATGATTGAGGTGATTACATCTCTAATATTGTTTCAATTGAATAATAATTATAAAAATATAAATATTTGGTAATGAAATACCTACGCCGTAGGTTCTGGTAATAGTGTTT